CCATTAAAAAAAAACACTAGAAACATACTATCTCTTTACTTTAAAAGAAAAAGTTGACACACGATACCTACTAACAGCATATAGCATGTCATATCCTCTAGATCCCGAATTATGCGATTATTGCAAACTTCTATTTGATAATAATGGTGTGGTATTAGTTTGTGGTCACAGCTATCATATGTGCTGTTATAGTAGAAGGTGCGTTTATTGTGAAGAATACTATAAAAAAGAGATTTTTGAAAATGTTAGTTCGTTACTAAAGTGTATAGAAAAAGGAGCAGATACACTTACAAAGAAGAATCTTGATGATGACAATGATGAAGATAATGCAGAAGAAGATACAAAAGTAATACCAGAAGTAGAGGAGCAACTAGATATTTCATCTAGATTGGCAGTACAATTAGAACAAATTGATTGTTAGTAAAAAGATAACGCAAACAGAAATAAGAATATCAATTATTATATAGAAGGATATGAAAATGTAGTTGAATGGATTCCTTTTAATAGATTAAATAGCATTCAAATAATTAGTAAAGAATTATTTGGCATAGTATATTTAGCTATATAGTTAGTTAAATGATAAAAAATTACCATAGCAATATATATTCGTAGCATAAGAAAAAATAAAAAAAAAAAAATAGATTTAGCATTAAATATATATATAACTATTAACAATAATTACGAAAATTCATGTCATATCAAAGTAATGCAGACAAAGAGATCTCAGAGATGAGTTATCACAGTACATTTTCTAAACACTTGAAGAACATACTAGCGAAGTTCTGCAGTAAACTGACAATTTCTTTTATGTGCCTTCATATGACAAACTTTTTCTCTTATTATTTTATATGTAAATTCTTGTGTAATATATATGAATAAAATCGAACCTCTGTCATACTGATAATCGCTGATTACATTCAAATAGTAGATTAAGCGAGGTATGAATATTATATAATATTGCACTTAATATTATTAATCAATTCATGAATTTTTATCATGTTTACGAATTTTTTTAATTAAAAAAAATTTGTAAACATGATAAAAATTCGTAAATTGATTAATATCAATATTATATTTACTAATTTTTTGTCGATTTTGATATTTATTACGTTTTTAATTATAGAAAAATACACTTATTATTATTAATCAATTCATGAATTTTTATCATGTTTACAAATTTTTTTTATTAAAAAAATTTGTAAATGTGATAAAAATTCGTGAATTGATTAATATCAATATCATATTTACTAATTTTTTTCTGATTTTATAGAAAAAAGTAAGGAGAATGAAGGCTGCCCCATTG